TGATGGGTTAGGCCGTAATTGGGCTTTCTGGTTTGGGCTAAGGCAATTGGGCCGCGGGGGTGTCATCGGCCGAGGTTTGGACTTGAGTGGGTTGGACTCTATTCGGGTCGCGGGAGTCCAGCCCTCGGGTCGGACTCCGTCTTCTTCGCCCGGTTACACGAAATTTTTCAGCGACCTCTCTCTCTCTCTCTCTCTCCTTGATAACGTCGTTCTGACGTCCTTTTTGCCTTCTTTTTCCTCCATTTTCGAGTCTCCTTCTCCCCTAATTTTGTTTTTTGTATTTGTTTGGTTCATAAAGGCCTAACACTTCCGGATTTGAGAGGGTTCAGAAATCTTACGTTCTGTCTCCCTTATCCGACGGTGTACAACGTGTAGGAATCGTCTAAATCTACCCTTGGTGTGTGTAAAAGTCTCTGGGATTATTTTTGTTGCATAAATCGGAGGTTTCGACGTCGATTTTATAGGGTTTGGCTTTGCCGGAGCTTCATCGGATTTTCTCACTGCCTTTCTCGTTTTCTCACTATTTTTCTTCTCTGCAGGTGTCTTGGAGGTAGCTGAAGGTCGGGTTTGGTTTCTGTGGTGACCCCAGCGTCGGGCGCTCTTTGTGGGTCGTCGGAGTTTTCAGTCCTGCCAACGACCATTTTTTTTTCCTGATCCGTTACAGACATACTCGGCCTTTCTTTGAGCAATATTTGTAAGATTGATAGAACGTGTTAGCATGCAAAAATAACATTTCTTCGGTGGTTAGATTATGCATGATTAGGACATTCTATAAACCTATCTATATTAAAAACTAATGTATTTTTAAGGGATTATCCTTAACCTCCTTATTTAGTCAATTACTAATTTAATCATGTTAAGAGCACACAAAACAAAAATTATTTAACACCAATCATTTAGTTTGAACTTAAGCAAATAGTATCATCCTTAATAATCTCGTAAAAACTTAATAAAATTTCAAAGGATTCATAATAGAAAGTGTTGAACACAACTCTCGGTATGAAACACTCGCACTCTTTATTAAAACATCTCGAGAAGAGATTACAAGACACTTTGTAGAATACTATTACTTTGTTCAACACACTTTCTAGCATACTACTATTTTCTATTTTATGGGATGATAACCTAGGTAGGGCGGAGGGTATTTATACTAGAACCTACGCAATCTAAGCCTAACAAATCTAAATCTTTTTCCTAAAATATCTACCTCTCTTCCCTAAAATATCTCGTTATCTTTATTCTAAAATAGTTAAATCATAAGTAGAGATGGGCTCATACAATTATTTAGTTTGGCTCTATTGGTCTAGTGATGATATTTTAGCACTCCCCCTCAGCACTAGTCCTCAATCGCTGCACCATGTTGAGCTGACAACGAAAGCTCTCATGTTAGCCCTTTTGTAAACAAGCCTGTCACTTGGTCATCTGTCTTGATCTGCTGCATCTCGTTTTCTTCCTTCAGAACTTTCTCTCTAATGGAATGGTAGTGTCTCTCCACATGCTTTGTTCTAGCATGAAACACCAGATTTTCTGTTAGGCGAATCGCAGATTGGTTGTCGCAATGAAGTGGTATTGAATAGTCAATTTTCTGGTGCCAATCTTCCATCAAGAGTTTTAGCCATGTACTTTTCTGAGCAGCTCTGTACTCTGCTTCTCTAGTTGATAATGACCCCGTTGGTTTTCTTTTCCTACACCAAAAAATTGTTCTTGAACCGAGCTTGAACACATACCTGGTGCTTGATCTTCGAGTATCGTGATATCCTTTAACATATCTCAAGGTCCATCGAATTGCATCAAAATGAGGCTTCTTCGGACTTTGCATATACTAACTAATGAATCCAACTTCATTTTCGAATGCATTTGGTTGGTTCATGTAGAACTCTCTGTTTAACTCTCCATTCTGGAAAGTATTCTTCATATCCATCTACCATAATTTCAAATTTTTATTTACCAAAAGTACTAGAGAAACATGTACAGTAGTGATTTTCGTCAATGGACTAAATATTAAATCATCACCTAGTCCATATTGTTGAGAGAACCTTGAATCTACCATCTGAGCTTTGTATCTCACAATTGATCCGTGGGGGTACACTTTATTTTGTAGCTCAACTTGCAAAAGATAGATTTAACATCTCCTGATCTTGGCACTAGTTCCCAATTTTGATTTTTCTCCAAGGCTATAATTTCTTCCTCCATTGTCTGCTGCCAAACCGTATTTTGTGATATTTCTCCATACATCTCTGGTTCTTTAACTTTGTCTTGTATAATAACTTCGTTGGCATACCCTGGATTTGGCTTTTGGATTATTTCTGACTGTCTAAGTTGTTGAGGTGTCATTTCCTTTTCATCAGGTTCGCTTGGTTGAGTCACTCCTTGCTCATCAACATCAATGTCACTCAAATCTCCAGGCACATCAACATTTAAGCAAATGTATATAATTTGCTCCCCCATCTTCTGTGGAAGAATTTCTTCAGTTTGCTCCCCCATCTTCTGTGGAAGAATTTCTTCAGTTTGCTCCCCCATCACCTGTTGAAGAATTTCTTCAATGTCCAAGCCTGGTAATACTTCCTTCTCTAAGGGTCACCCCTCTTCCATTGCATCACTTTGATCGTTAATCATGTGGTTTGAGCATCCTAAATCAATGATTCAGTCATCCTCGTAATCGATATGTTCTCACATCATCGCCATGAGCGCTAGCTCGTCTTCTTCTATGACACAAATTGCCTCTGCATCCCATTCCTCCTCAATCTCTATGTTGGAGGATGCCACATTGCTTTTGACAGACTTTTTCTTGGACCAACAATATCTGGACATGTGGCCCTTCTTCCCACAATTGCAGCACTTACCTTCAAATCTTTTTCCTTGAGAACTCATGTTGTCATTCTTTTAAGATCTCTCAGATTGTGCAGTTCCTTCATGACTTCTTCTTTTGTCACCATTTTTGTATCCACGTTTGGTAGACCACTTCTTATTGCTCCAACTTTCACTTGTGTATAGTGCTTCTTCTTCCTTAAATGTGATGTCTCCCATTTGTTTAGTCATGGCTTCTTGGCTGGCTAAAAAATTTTCAAACTCTACAAGTGATGGTTGAGCAGGCCATCCTTGTACAGCAATAACGAAGATTCTATATTCTGGTCGCAATCCGTGGATAATGATTCTCTTCATTCGAGATTCTCCAATGGCGGACTTTGAGTCTAGTTCAGTAATCTCCTGGCAGATTGATTTGACCTTGTGAAAGTACTGAGCAATCGTCATGTCACGTTCTGAAACTGACAACAACTCATTCTCTAGAATTTGTAGCCTCGTATCGTTCTTCTTTAAGAACAGCAGCATGAATGTGTCCCATGCTTCTTTCAGTGTCTTGTCATCCCAAATATGCTCTAACATCTCTTCTTCGATTATGGTCTTCAAGGAAAACATTGCTTTGCCTGCTTTGATTCTCCATTTGCGCAAGGTGCCGTTAGAATCCTCCTCTGGCAGCATAGTTTCACTCCCGCCAACCTCTTAAAAGGTCATGTCCTTGTACATAGGACATCATGCATGTTGCCTACGTGTTGTAGTTGTTGTTGTTGAGTTTCTTGATCCCTCCTACGATTTGGAAGTTAGTCATCGTGTTGCAATACCTCAGTAATACCAAACAAGTCTTTTCGACACAAAACTTGCAGAGTCACGGACTACTCACAACACAAAGAAAATCACTCACTGATAATCTCAAGAAACCGTTTCTGATGTGAAGATCAGACAGTGCTGCAACCACAAAGCATACTAAGAATACCAAGAGAATCGACAACCTACAGTAACCTCGTTCTGATACCAAATTGTTGAACACAACTCTCTGTAGGAAACACCTGCACTCTTTATTAACACCAATCAGGAAGAGATTACAAAACACTTTGTAGAATACTACTACTTTGTACAACAGACTTTCTAGAATACTACTATGTATTTCTTGGGATGATAACCTAGTTAGGGTTGAGGGGTATTATACTAGATACTTCACAATCTGAGCTTAACAAATCTAAATTTTTTTCCTAAAATATCTCATCTCTCCCCTATTTCTTGGGATGATAACCTGGTTGAAGGGTATTATATTAGATCCTTTAGATCTGAGCCTAACACATCTAAATTTTTTTCCTAAAATATCTCATCTCTCCCCTAAAATATCTTGTTATCTTTATTCTAAAATACTTAAATCATAAGTAGAGATGAGCTCATACAATTGTTGGGCTTGACACTGTTGGCTTGACACTGTTAGGCTAGTGATGATATTTTAATAGAAAGAACATATACAAAGCAACAACATACCACTTGAAAGACTTTTGAATATGAAAGCAATAACAAATATGTTCATCTACCCTATGATTCTAAGTAGACCTAAAGAAACTGATCATCGAACTTGTGACCCGACTTAAAATATTGAACATCTAGCCTATGGTAAAAAATCAAAACCACTACCATCTACCATGTAATAAGGAACCAAAATATAGGTAATCTTGCTTGTTGTGTGTGGACCCAACAATTTGAACAAAGCGTGGAGACAACCAACAACAAAAACTTGCTTTGTTCAATGATCCACGTAGAGAGACAACGACCAATTTTTTTAAGTTACATCTATGGTGGAACAAATAGAACATAGTCGATCGTGTGTTGTGTTTACTCTATTGTACATTCTTCTTTTTTACTTCTGAATAAATTAAACAATTCGTAAATATCTAATCCAATTGAAGAATTATGTGGGTATATGTATATCTATCATCATGTATATCATGTATATATACTATACAGTAACATTGGGACGAATTTCAAGTTATCTAAAAAAAGATATATATATTATTACTGTATTGAACCTTACTTTAGGTTCTAATTATTTTTAATTTAAGGAAGAACGAAGAACACAAAGTAATTAAAGGCAAGAGTTTGGAAATTGTTTGCCAAAAGCATGGCCCTTCACATTATTACAAATGGAAGTTGGTTGGCCAACACCCTTGAAGGGAAGGTTTATGTTATGCCTTCGCATGGTAAAACTTGGCTGCATTCCAATTTACTGCTACTTGGGTCGCTGAAGTCCCCCTAATATTTTCATATCTCACGTCTCGAATCTTCACTCTTGAGTTACTCTATCGACCACAAACAACATTCATTAATACCATTTTCAGTTTTACTTTACCCAACGACTATCAAATTTGAAAATATATACCATTTTATCTCTGTTACAATCAAGACAATATTTTTTATCAATGACGATAGGACTTTTTACGTCCTTCATTTCGAGATTGAGAAAAGCGATATTGGTAACAAAACTAGGAAGTGAAGATGACCATGTTTTGATCCTCACACCATTGTTTGTGCCAACAAATGTGGAGTCTCTAACTATGACTTCAGAAACATCTTCTTCATTTGGGTACTTTCCAAGGCTACCGATGCTAACTCCATGACCTGGACCACACTGGATGTCTGTTATGTTGATGAATTTACTTCCAGGACCAAGAGAGATGCAATCGTCTCCCGTTTCGAATCTTGAATGCACAATGTTGATACCACTTGACTTGGAAATGTGGATTCCATCTGTGTTGGGGCTATCTTCTGGAGCCATTACTCTAATGTGATCAAACATGACATCACTACATCCATGCACACCAAAATGGAAGCATTTGCTATTGTACGATGTTATACCCGTAATTCTCGCATGGTTGATTTTATTGAGTTTCATAGACTACATATAAACACTTTCACAGTCACTAAACAAATAACTTAGAAAAAAAGAAAAAAAAAAGTGAATTCCTATTCCATCTAACACTTTAACCAAAAAATCAAGAAAAAGGACTTACAATCGGACGGTTAAAGGTTTTGATAGACCAAGCTGAAGAACCGCGACCGTTCAAGCTGCCATAACCGTCGACAAAAAAGTTGTCGACTTCATAGATACTCAACCAAGTTTGGCCAGTGGCGAAATGTTGGTCGATAGGAGCCAACAATTCGCCATTAATCCATAGACCAATGAATCCTTTACATCGACCTTTAAGCACCAACGGAAGAATTAGAAACCTCCCATGTAGTACTAACACTACACCACCTCCATCACCCCAACAAGCTTGGCTTTATAATCTTCTTTCAACAAAATAACCAAACTTTAAATTTTATTAGTTTTGGAATTTTTTGTAATTCTTTTAAATTTAAATAAAAAAAAACACTTAATGATCAAATAAGCCTTTTATTTTCTTAACCTAGAAACAAAGACAATAGCTAAGCTCCCTTTGATATTGTTTTCGGTTGTGGGATTGTTATCAAAATTTCAAAATAAAAAACCATGTTTTTTTTTAAATACTTTTTTTATTTAAAAAATTATTGTTTAGAATTTTGAAAATATGTGTACAGGTGAGATCGATAATGAAACAAAGAAAAAGTAAAAAACAAGAAAGGAGACCTAAGAAACTCTAATCTTATTGTTTCTAAAAGTTCTACCACATTTTGAAAATAAAGTAAAAATTTTAAGAATGCTTGGGCTTCTAATTCTTCTGTTTCTCAAAAACTTTTAAAAGAAATATAAAACATGTAAGAGCTCAAGCCCTCGGTAACAAATATTATCGGTCCGCCTCACGATTTTAAACACGTCTGTTAGGAAAAGATTTCCACACCCCAGTAAGAAATGTATCGTTCCCTTCTTAAGCTGACGTGGAATTTCAAAAAATGAAATAAGAAACAGAAGGTAGTGCTATCAGTTCGTCCATCATTTCTCGCCCCAAATGGCATGATGTTGAACACATTTTGGGCATAACATTGGGAATGCAAAGTAAAATGGTAATCAACACTAAACATTCAATATGTGATATTCAAACCCATTTTTCTCTCTTCTTCTACGATGCATGCCTGGTTTTTGCTCTCCACTTTTCTTTATTTTTACAACAAATTTTTAACACCCACAAATGGAAGTCTCTTCCAACTCAGATTTTATTCTTTTATTGCAAAATCATTACATTTTGAAATGAAGTTTTTTGTCTATTTATACATTGATTGAAAAATGTATAGAGTTATTACACGAAATTCAATTTAAGTTTAATAGATCAAAATTTAGAATTTAAGAACTTAACCGTAATGTCACTTGTCCAACTCCAACAATAAGGTTACTTACTTATTTGGTCTTGATCGAAGTCCCTAACTATTCTGTAGTTGCTTCGGAGCTATTCTCCAAATATTTAACTTCACCTATACTAACCCATATCACATTCTCGAGGACATACGATTACACATACTATAGCTAAGTGAATTGATTACTCCTAATTTTATTTCAAAAGTATTTACTTTGCGCAAAAAGGAGTCTTACTGGCCTTAAATAGCCTCAATAAGGTCTAGATATAAAATATGAATATCGAGTCGTTTAAGCCGTCAAGTAGAGCCGCCAAGCCGAGCCAAGATGAGCCCGATTGGGAGCAGGACACGTGATATAAAAATATGAATATCGAGTCGTTTAAGCCGTCAAGTAGAGCCGCCAAGATGAGCCGCGATTGGGAGCAGGACACGTGCAAGGCACGTGCGGTGCTGAGGGGGCGTGGGTCGTCACTCATGTTGAGGCACAGACTTCGGGTCAACGAGCAGATCGGGCTTCACGCTTTCGGTCTAGGCAGTGGAAGAGTGGTTGGGTCGTTTGATCGTAGGTCGTACGCTTCTGGGTTGGGTTGAAGCACGTTGCGAGTGGGTCCATGGGCCATACCTGAGTCTAAGTGTTCAACCCATGGAGCACATCTTCTCAACCCGACTCTTGATGATTCTCTTGTGGGTCGTTTATGACTTATCTCCGACGACGCCTTCTTCATTCAATAACGCTATCTATGGTGACAACGACACTACGATCTGCTACATCCACTACCACGTTGAGGCTTTCTTGAAGAGTAAAAAATCACGTCATCGGAGTGAGATCCGCCGGTGAGGACTCTTTCTCTCTATCTCTTTTCTCTCTCGGCTACGTGTGTAAGTTTTAGAGTGAAGGCAAGATTGTGCTGGTTATGGAGGGTATGAGTTGGGAGTTTATGAAGGGGCATGTTGCAGTTTGAATCTGCGAAAAGAGCGCCTCGTTAGATATCTAGCAATTTTCGACGAGGGTTGATTTTTTTTTAAAATATCTATCGTTACATTATACCCTCCTAAAAAGGACATTCGTCCTCGAAAGTGTCTACATTAAGAAATAGTTATGGGTATTTCTCCTCATTTCGTCCTCCCGTTCCCACGTAGGCTCCTTTATTTGCTAGTTTCTCCACAACACTTTGACAAAAGCAATGTCCTTGGTGTGTAAAGTTTGTACTTCACATGTCAAGACCCTCACTAGTCTTTCTTCGTAACTCAAGCCTTCTACCACCTCCAAGGGCTCATAATCTATCACATGCGTGGGATTATTGACCCTTATGCTGAAGCAATCCAAAAAGCAAACTTTTTGGGGATGACCTGAAAATTTTAATCCACATCAGCAGTACACGTGGGTCATTGACTACCAAATTAGAAACATCCTAGGTAGACGATTTTATCCTTTCTCAGCCCTCAATGAGAAGAAACAAACATTATAAAAGGAAAATGATACTCAAAAAGGGAGTGGAGCCACACTTTGGGAGAAAAATCGGATTAGACATCAGCAGCCTCTGCTGCAATAAATTGTTGTGAAATCAGAGAAAAAGAAGAGAACCCTAATCCAGCAGTCATTGATGGCAAAACGAAAAAGGAGACCAACAAGGATTGATTAGGGCAAAGAGGTGGATGTACGAGCTCAAGGGATGAGAACTTCCATTGACGAACGACAACAAAGCGGGATAACTCTCTATGTCCTTATTCTCTTTTTTTATTCCATCAATCTTACTTGATTGAGATGCGGATTCCTCTATTTAATTCAGTTTGTATGGAGAGCTAAACTTTATAGGGGAGGCGTGAGAGTTTTATATAGTTTAAATATGTTGGCAGTATAATCTTAGTTGATTAAAGAGTTGTTGTTAATGATTTACATGTGTGTTTAATTAGCTACTTTACGTACATAGTTGTTCTCTTATTCGGGAGAAGAGAGGGAGCAATGAACTCCTTTTTAATACTTCACTTTCATCGGAAGGCAACTTGAAGGGTAATAAAAGGGTTAGAAATAATTCTTCTCCTAGAGTCTTGTTAATAGAAATTACAAACGATTATGAAAATAATCCCCATGCATGACCCTCCGAAGTGAGCTTGGAAATCTTTTAAAAGAACTAATCTCCCACAAAACTCAATAACTTATCTATTTAATCTCTTTTTGCCGAACCTTCCTCATTATCATTGATTTTCTCATCATTTTCTGTTATTCGACTGCAGTGACACTTTGCTTTAGTTTTATTTAATTGGTCAAAATCACCAACACTCATTTGAATGTTACCCAAAAACTACTTAATTTATAGCAATTAAATTAACCAAAAAGATAGGTTCTCCGTGGAATCGAAAATTTACTTATTACTTGCTACTTGTGATAGTGTATACTTACACTTATTCTTGTGAATTTTCCATCATTTTATTATATACATCCACAAGCGACCAATTTTTTGGCGCCATTTTCGGGGAAGCTAATTTGGTTATTTTACTTGTTGTGGATTTTCGTGAGTTGGATCCAAAAAGAAGCTAGAGTAAGTTGTTCTACTGCTGAATTAACTGCTGCAGAATTCTGTGCATGAACCCACCTACGGGTTTGGAATTTATTTTTGATCCCGAAATAGAGAGAACCTTTAGACAAAAGTTGAGGGATAAGAATATACAGCAAATGGCCCAACTAAATTGGGAGTTTGAAAATCTAGCGATTGATGGCTAATCAAGAAAGAATTACTGCTAATGCCATTCATTTAGTAGATGATAGAGAAAGAGCAATCCGAGCATATGCACACCCAGCTGTGGAAGAGCTAAATCTGTGCATTATTAGACTTGAAATGCAAGCAACCACATTTGAGCTAATGCCCTTGATGTTTCATATGTTGCAAACCATTTGGACAATTTCATGGACTACCGTCGGAAGATCCCCACCTACACCTAAAATCATTTTTGGGAGTTAGTGACTCATTTTGATTTCAAGGAGTGGATAAAGACGATTAGATTGAACTTATTCCCTTATTCCTTAAAATATGGTGCGAAATCATGGTTGAATACCTTAGCATCGGGAACAATCGATGTGAGAAGCAATCCAGGAAAGAAGACCCAGTACTTGAAGTTGAAGCTTATCTTCTATCAATGCTCAACTAGCTTCGGTGACTAATATTTTAAAAAACCTAGCGTTGGGACAAGGCTCAATGACCAAAGCACCAGCCCATACAACTGTTGTAATGACCCAGACAGCAGGTGAATCTTGTGTATATTGTGGAGACGAACACACTTTTGATCAATGTCCAAGCAATTCAAACTCAATTTTTTATGTGGGGAATCAAGCTAGTCAAGGCAACCCGAAAAATAATCCCTTCTCAAATACTTATAATCTTGGGTGAAGAAACTATCCAAACTTCTCATGAAAGGGACAAGGCTCATACAACTAACAAATGCCACCTGAAGCAAATTACCTTCCGGGTTTTGGATTACAAAATCAATTGGCATATGGTTCTCAACAAGCCAACACTCAAGGGAAAGGAACTAGCCAAACTCAACATATATCGGGAAAATCATTTGAGAGCCTAATATGGCTAAAAATGATGTTGTGATACAAAGACAACAAGCATCATTGAAATTTGGAAGTTCAAGTAAGTCAATTAGCAAATGAGTTACGAAATAGACCTCTTCGTAAGCTGCCAATAGACACCAAAATGCCAAAAAGAGAGGTCATGGAGCAATGCCAAGCAATAGAATTGAGAAGTGGGAAAGAAATACTCAATAGGGGAGAAAGAATAAAGAACACAATGATAGTCACTCTCAAAAAGTTGCTGATATACAACAGAGAAAGGAGGAGCTACTGTATAGAAAGAACACAACAAAAATTATACAGAAACTATGGAGCCTCCTAAAACACAAACAGCAGTCAGCAATGGACAAGAAAGTATAACATACACATCTCCTTTTCCACAAAGAATAAAAAGGAAGAAGGAAGAAGCCCACTTTGAGAAGTTCATGGATATATTTAAGGAAATTCACATACACATACCATTAGTGGAAGCTTTGAAGCAAATGCCAAATTATGTGAAATTCTTGAAGGATGTGCTAATCAATAGAAGAAAGTTTGAAGAATTCAAGGTGGTACCATTGAATGAAGAGTGTAGTGTAATATTGAAAAACGAGATCCCACTGAAGGAGAAAGACCTCAATTCATTCACAATTCCAATATCAATAGGAGGGAAGAAGTTAGGTCAAGCATTATATGATTTGGGATCAAGCATTAATCTAATGTCGCTGTCTATTTACAAAAAGTTAGGTATTTGTGAAACTAGACCAACTACAGTCATCCTTCAACTAATAGATCGGTCTTTCACTCATCTAGAAGAAAAGAATTGAAGATATCCTAATTCAAGTTGACAAATTCATATTTCCAACAGATTTTATTATTTTGGATTATGAAGCGGACCATGATGTACCAATTATCTTAGGGAAACCATTTTTGAAAATCGGAAGAACATTGGCAGATGTCCACAAGGGAACTATAATGTTGAGAATGAATGACCAACAAATAGAATTTCATATGATTGACAACATGAAATATCTAGTAGTAGTAGAGGAATGCTCAGTAATTTATAAATTGACAGAGAATCCAGCAACTAATAGTTGGAAACAGCAACAAGAAGAAGACAGCAGCGGAAATAATTGCACTAAACAACAAGCAGAACTGGAGAAAACTGTAAGAGTTTTTGAATCACAGGAATTAGAGGAAAGAATAAATTTATCAATGAGTATCTATCGATGACACACCCTTGAACTACATCTTAGAAGAAGAACTATTTGATATATGGGAGATGGACTTCATGAAATTATTCTCACCCACTGTAGGATGGAGAGTTACGAAGGGACATCATTTCTTTGACAATGGATAACTGGGAAAAAAATGAAAAGAGAAAGAGGGAGCTAGTCATAATTTGCAAACAAATATATGAATATCTGAGTAAGCTAAGTTAGTTTTTCTTCTCTTTTTATTTATGCAATTATATAGTTGTTTTTAAATAGTTGCCTTCACTTTCCTTAGAATGATAGTCTTTTAGATTTTATTTTATTTGTTGTCGTGAATAACTCGCATGCTCTAAGGAAGTTAAACAAATTTTGTAGATGAATTAGGGAGATTTAGATGTGGTTAGGTATGCTAATTTTATCATATTAAGGAGGTTAATTACACTTAGTGCATGCTAGGATGTGATTGATTGATGACAAATATTATTCTCTTGTAGTGCACGTTGCCACATAGTTGTCTTGTTCCTTTTCATTTGCATATGGTTTTATTTTATTTAAATGTTGTACACTTTCTCATCCAACTACATGTCAAGGCACCACCACAAAAGAAAGTTTTTTATGAACACTCTAAAAGATTTTCTAACCCCTCCAAGTAAAGAAATGTGTATGGAGAAGAGAAATTGACAGAAAATATGCCTTGTATATTCTTAGGTAAGCTTGAATGGTAAAAAAGGGGCTGCTAGACATCATAATTCAAATGCAACAAGAGACCGCACCAGCGCTAGACTGATGGCAGATTTACAGCAACAATATTTCCAAGTTTCTAGAGAAAGTTTTAAAAGAATGGAGCCACAAAAAATCTTCAGCCTAAAGATAAGGGAATTATTAAACACACCCTCTACAATTTTATTAAGTTGTTTTGAAGCATGCATCCATATTTTGTTGTCTACTTTTGTTTTAT